TAGCTTTTTGTGCCTCAGTTTCCTCAACTACAACATGGGAATAATAGTACCTACCTCCTAGGGTCACTGTGAGAAATAGGATTTAAATAAAATGGGAAATACTGAGCACTTCATAAATGTTTGCTGTTATTAAAGGGGAGACAAGATACCTAAGTAAATGGCAATACAAGGTAATCCTTTGGTATTACATATGAAACATATAGAAAGTAACTGAGGGGCACATAAACTATAGTGGGGATAATCAAGGGAGTTTTGTGGTGATAGAGGCAAAAACAAAGAAGTCCAAGAGTTAGACAAATGGCACAGGAGAAGTGGTCAGATCTGTTGAATGCCCATGGTATGGCAGGCACCGTGCTAGNCTCCAATTTAGAGGACTGGTTCCCCATGTCTGTTGCCTGTTTCCCGGAGCCCCTAAACTGGCGAGCCAAGCATCCCAAACTCGCTCAGGTTAGGAGGAGACAGGGAAGTATCGTACTCTTCCCTGGAGATCTGGGAGCCCAGATGAGGACAGGCTTTATGCCTGGAGAACCTGGACGTAGCTATGATTTCGAAGTTAACTGAACCAGGTGGAGACAGGACTGGGAAAACAGACTAGGAGAAAGGAGGGACTCACTGAATCGCTGTCTAAGGTGTTGAGAGTAGGCGGAGATCCTGGATCAGGGAAGGAGGTGTGGGAGCTACAGATGGCTGGCTGGAAACCTGCACCTTATCTCCTTCCCAGGTTTTGGCACCAGCTGTAAGGTAAAATCGAACTGAAATGACCAGGCAAGGAGGCTACAAGGGAGCCAAAAGTTTAATAGGGCACAATCCCGTGCGATGTTCGCCGGTCTGGTTAGTGACAGGCCAGAGAAATCATGCCCCGCAGGGCAGGCAGTGAGTTTATAAAGAAGTTAGGGGGAGGGAGAGCATAGGTCTACAGTGGCACGAGGATTGGCTGGCCTAAGGCACGTGTCATTGGCCTTTACAGTAGACAAAGGACTAGAAAGTTACTACTCCTTTTCCAGGTTGGGAGGGGGCAGCAGCCAGGGATTTTGGCATTTCATCAGGCAGGAATCTGTTAGTCTCTTTCCCTTACTAGGCCAGGGTTGGGGGCTTTGCTGCCCCCTTTCCTTATTTGGTGAGGGCTGAGCTCATCTGACATGCTCACCCCTCCCTCCAGTGCCTGCAGCCTTACAATATATAGCAATTATGTGTAATGAATATACTCTACAAATACATATTCATTATAACCATTTAAATATATAGATTATATGTTTATATTTTTAAATATATATAGATATATTTATGTATATATAAAGCCAATCTCTTTACCAAATGCAGGAGATTCAGATTTGCAAATGGAAAGAGTGAAGTATATGGGTGAGTATAACTATCCTGATGTGGGAGTATTTCCAATAGTAGCTTAGGTTTAATTAAACTATCCCTTCAAGAATTGGACTCATAGGAGGGTTGCAATGTTTCCTGATAGATGTAGCAGCCACTTCTGACAAAGATTTTCGTTATTATTTGAGGGTGCAGGCTGAATGCCTGACTTATGATGTATTTGAGTGAGTAGCTGAGCCTTGGGGAGGTAGGTGTTAAAAGAAAAACAAAGGATTGTTGGTTAAACTGAAGATTTCACTTGAAGACCAACAAGTTGACAAATAATCTCTTAGATGTTGAAGCATGTATTTTCCCTGAAAAATATGCATCTTTTCTGGCAAAATCTTGTATCAGATCATATTATTGAGAGAGAAACTGAGATAAATATTTGTAAGTATCACTTAATGTCTTACAGTATCAAAAATCTAAAGACATGCCACTGATTTAAAATTCCAACCCTTGTAACTATTTAAAAGATTGTGAACTTTTCAAAATGCACATGAATTTAAGTTTTATATACTATAAGATGGGTAGACTTTTATGTATTGTCAGGCATGGTTATGGCAGTGCAAGAATTCTCTAATGTGAACAACTTCAATAAAAGACATAACTGAAAAACACTTGAAAAGGTCTATGGGAGAAGGGCCAGTAAAGCAAGCAGGATTAAACCACAGAAGTGGAGTTCAAGACGGCACCATCCCAGGGGAGGCAGGAGGGGTTCTGTCAAGAGCATGGTTATCAGTCCTGGGCAAGAGCAGGGATTGCTTTACCAGACTGGAAGAAAGGGGTTGAGGGAGCACAGAGCCTGTTGTTTCTGTTTGCTCTGCATTGCTTCTCACTGCTTTTGGTTAACAGTCCCAAATGTATGTTTGGAGACACACTTCTTTCCATTCTGTGTAGTCTTGGTAGAAGTACTAATTAGAGGAGTGGGAATGTAACCTAAGGAACGCCAGTTAGATTCTATTTGTCTTAGGAATTTGAAACTTGAAAGGAGAAACACAAAGGCAAATGATTAGAGCTGAGTCATTCTGATGACAGTGGCTCAAAGGACGTCCTGAGTTTCTCTAGTTATGCTCTTCCCAAAACCTGCCTGCTTAGCTGTTCCTTAAGTTCTGTAAGCTTTGTACTATCTTTACAAAAAATTGTATTTTGTTTGGGTTTCCAGTCAAATTCTGTTTTGTGCAAATAAAGAACTGTGTGAGATACGGAAAGTGTACACACAGAAACCCTTTAGGTACTAGGTGAGAAGAGGAAGTCTGTTTTCTCTCACAGAGGCAGGTGGGTTGGATAGCTTGAAAAATGTGATGAAGTTATCGAAGGGAGCTGATCAAGGATAAGCATAAAGATCAAGGATAAGTTAAAAGACTGCTAATCAGTGCTGAAGGTCCAGCCAAATTTGCAGAATATGAATTTGTGGTTATTTCTTTCAGGAACTTAGGTGCAGAAAAGGAGAAAGGGCATAGTTGGACTGATTTAAAGTTAAGAGCTGGTTAAGAGTATGTGTCAAAACATAAAGTGAGGATATTAAAGGGCTGTCAAGGAAACTGAAGGCTAAATCATGGGGTGTAGGCAGCACAGGCAAGGAAATGAAGCTAAAAGTGGAAAGGGGGGAAAGGGGGCATTAAGAGACTGAGGCTTGGGTTAGTTGAGAACAGACTAGGGAACAAGAGAGAGATCTGAAAGTTTAAGAGGCTTCTCTATAGATTTAGAAGTAAGAAAGTTTCAGGTGGTAAGATCCAGGTGCAGGTGATGAGGAGCTTTGAGAAGTGGGATATAGATTAAGGTTGTTAAAGCACCTTGAAGCCAAGGTCATCCACACAGCTACCGAAGTTGCCCATGATGATGTTAGATAACTTGATAACTCGTTCACCTCAAATTTCCTGATCAAATTCTGAAGTTTTTGGATTTGGGTTTTTTTTTAATAGTGGGATGTCAACATGTTGATTTGAAAAATAAATTTATGTATGAATATATAAATTCTTATGAGTATTGCTGAATGTTTTTTATCATTTTAACTGTACCTCTAGGAGATACTCCTATGCAGAACTTTAAACTACATTTTTGGACAATGTCATTATCCATAGTTGCATACACTTTATTTTTTAAATTTAAAAATTATTTATTTTTGTGAAGTGATTTTATTTTTTAAATTTAAAAATTTTTTATTGAAATGTAGTTGACATAGTTGACATACAATATTGTATTAGTTTCAGGTGTACAACATAGTGATTCAACAATTACACTACTAAGTATTCACCATTGTAAGGGTAGTTACTTTCTCTCCGTATACAAAGTTATTATAATATTTTTTACTATATTCCCTATACTGTATTTTTTAAAATGATTACTAGGAGGTTGGTAGATGGCAACTGAAAAATGTAGTTCCCTTATGAAAGGAAGACTAGCTACACTGTAACATAACGGCTAACTGTGCCGGTTCTTGGTTCTGCGTCTTTGCTGACTGTCTAACCTTAGTTATCCTCCCCTGAAGTTACTTATCTTTTTGTGCCTCAGTTTCCTCAACTACAACATGGGAATAATAGTACCTACCTCCTAGGGTCACTGTGAGAAATAGGATTTAAATAAAATGGGAAATACTGAGCACTTCATAAATGTTTGCTGTTATTAAAGGGGAGACAAGATACCTAAGTAAATGGCAATACAAGGTAATCCTTTGGTATTACATATGAAACATATAGAAAGTAACTGAGGGGCACATAAACTATAGTGGGGATAATCAAGGGAGTTTTGTGGTGATAGAGGCAAAAACAAAGAAGTCCAAGAGTTAGACAAATGGCACAGGAGAAGTGGTCAGATCTGTTGAATGCCCATGGTATGGCAGGCACCGTGCTAGCTGTTATACAAATATTATCACATTTACTATCACATCCCTGCGGATAATTTATTTGTCTTTCACTGCGGAAAGCTCAGGGAGGTTCGATAACTTGGTCTTGGGCACAAAGGCATGGGACGAAATTGGGATCTTTACTTTAAAAAGTAAGTTTAAGTAGCACAAGAGGGACTCAGCAGAAGGAACTTCAAGAAAGTGTGAGATAAAATAGCTGATCATTGAGCATAGTGGGCAGCTGGGAGAGTTGAAGATGCATTTGCAGGAAGGGATCAGATTACAGGGTTTTTGCCCGCCGTATGAGAAGTCTGGACTTGAATCCCTGGGAAATGCCAAGGGAGTAAAGTATTTTAAGTAGGCCCCACAAAGTGAGTTGACACTAAGCATGTTACCAAAAGCATGACGACGGTTAGATAGGTCATTCCCCATTTACTGAGCACCTGTATACCGGCTCTGCGACAGGCAGCGGAGGTGCAGCATGGAAGGGGCTCAGCAGGGGCGAGCTTTTCCTCCAGCCACATCGCCGACGTCTAAAGCCCGACTGGTTCCACAAGTGCCCTTTGCGCTCCTCGGGACGCGCGGGGCTGGCTGTGTGCTCCAAAGGCTGATGACGGCGCAGTCATCTGCGCTCTTCGGTGACGTGTGACTGGACCGACCCCACCCCTCTAGCGCCCTCTTGCGTCCGAAGCCTTCCGTTCTCCAGCTTCGCCAATCCAGCTTGTATGCCGCCTACCTCCCGTCCCCAGCGGAGGCCGCAGCTGCCTTCCGGCTGCGCCACACGCCCGGTCACGTGAGTATGAGTTCCCGTGAGGCTAGGTCACGTGCTGAGCCCAACCTGCTTGGAGCTCGGCTTCCGGAAATCTGCGTGTGTGGGAGGGTGCGGTCCCCGCGCGCGCCGGCTGAGCCTCACTGCGGGAATGGTGAGGAGGGCGGGCCGCGGTCTGGCGGGGGTGGCTCGGGGCTACGGCCTCCCTGAGGCTCAGCCCCTCTTCTCGTCCTTTTCGCTGCAGAACGGGACAACCCCCGACCAGGAGCGGACACCGGCGTCGGAGCCCGTGTGGGAGCGGCCCTGGTCGGTGGAGGAGATCCGCAGAAGCAGCCAGAGCTGGTCGCTGGCGGCGGACGCGGGCGTGAGAGGCTGGCCCCAGGGACGGGAGGGGAGGGCAGGCCGCCTGGGATGGCCCCCGGCCTGCGAACTGGAGGATGGAGCCTTGATTCCCTCAACATCCAGTGCGCCCCGCTGCTTCTGGTCTTAACGCATCCCTTCTCTCCCTCGAAAACTCCACTGTGGCGGTCTCTTGGCACCAGGGCGGGGGCTGACCGTAGCCGCTGAGCGCCCCCGCTCTGGCTGCTGCCCAGACGCGGAGTTCTTTGCCTGGTTTGGGGTTCTTAGCGATGCACCTGAACGGGGCAGATAGGTTTCCACCACGCCGGGGGATGACTGTGGCACTGGTGAGGCAGTTCCAAGTTGGGACCTGGACTGATTCGGGGGTAGAGCCGTCAGTGTGTTGATATCCTTGCATGGTACTCCTCAGGGCAAGGACCCAAGACGCTGAGAACTGTGTAAGTCCCATATGAATAACACTTTGTGGATCAGAGTGGCAGTTTATTTTACCCTTTGTGATCCCTGTACAATGACAACCAAATAGGACTTGAAAATTCCTCCGGAAATAAAATAGCAAGTGCTTATTGACTCCTTGCCACTGTTTTGATGAGCTTTCTTGATGTCTTTCAATTGTTTGGTTTTAGTACTGTCAAAAATTATCATCCCTTTCACATTCCAACACGCGTAAACACACAGAGGTGAAAGGGAATGGGTTCTTGTTTTGACACATAATAGATGCAGAAAATATTGATACTACTGTACGTTTATTTTTTAAATAGCTACTACAGTTTCTGCAGGAATTCTCACAGCAGACTATCTCTAGGACCCATGAAATCAAGAAACAAGTGGATGGACTAATTCGGGAAACTAAAGCCACAGATTGTCGCCTACATAATGTCTTCAATGACTTCCTTATGCTGTCTAATACCCAGTTCATTGAAAACGTGAGTTACTTAGTTACATCGAACTTACACGTAATACTTTTTTCCAGGAGCAGGAGTCATTGTGATACTATGTAAACTATTATTAGGATCCCTCCCAAATTTTGATAGATATAGTGGTTGTTGGTAATTGAATCTTCTTTCTCTAGGGTTAATCCGTTTTTTAAAATCACTAAAGTAAAGAAAAATTTTTTTTGCCAAGCTTTTAAAAAGTTTAATAATGAAATTTCCTCATATTCCAGTCTTTTCCTTAGTTTTGAGAATAGTCAGCAGTTTTGCTGAACTGTGTGGCACTCAAACAACCCTTGTGCACGTTCTGTAAGGAAAGCCATACACCTGCTCTAATCCTTTGGACACCAGCATGTGGCTGCAGTCACTGTGTCCCTATGTTATGATAAAATATATTAAAGGCATAATATGTTTACTTGAAATATTCTCATTAATGTTTTGTTGTTATGGCCAAATCTGATACGGACTCATCCTTAAACAATTATTGAGCTTTAACCTGTGTGTGATTTTTGTCTGTATATTGAATTTCAACATGCTAGGCCCTGGTAAAACATAAATTAGAGCGTTTTCTTAGAGAAGATTACAGTTTTCTGTTACACTATAATAATAGGGCTCAAGTGTGGCTGGAGGTTGGTGAGTGAAGAGGCTGTTAAGAGATGAGGATGGAGTGGAAACTTAAGTTGATCTGTATTTCTCATAGGGTGACTGACTATCAGCATTACTTAATTTGTGAAAGGATGATTTTGTTAAAGTAGGCTATTTACTGAGATTGTTAGGTGTACAGTAATAGGAAAGGTTTTGAAAATGGAAGATTGTAAAAAGCCCAAGAATCAGGATTAAGATCAAATACTGTCATGTAGGTATTTTATGCATCATTGTGCATTTTTTAGTAGTTTGGGTTGAAATGCTACTGCTGGTAGCTTTTTTAGGCGCTATGTGTGAAATAAAGATCTTAATAAAATTCTTAGAAATCTCTTTGTCAGTAAGTTTAAAATGTAATGAGAATTCTAGTAAACTCTGTAGTTATTTTCTGATTGTCTGTACAGAATGTCCATGCTTGGTCCTGAGCATCTTTCTTACTGGAAGAGGAAGTTTACAGGACTCACCTCTACTACTGATAGATGCAGCCCCATCAGGTTTTCACTAAGCTGAATTTGGTGTCCTCTTAAATGTACTTGTTGCTCTCATTCTGTGCCTT